GGGGCCGCCGCCGCCGCCGCCGCCGCCGCAGCCGCCGTCGAAGAAGCGGCGAACGCATGCGCATGCGCCCGGTCGCTGCGTGAGCTTTGAAATCTCCGCTTCAGTCGCACTAAGATGGACGGCGGAGCGTACGGCGGCGGAAAGGCCGGGGCCCCTTTCGATCCGATCGCGTTCGTCCAGCGGCCGCAGGTCATTCTGAGAGCGGTATGCCTGGTAAGTCGTTCGCGGGCCCCCGTCAGGCGGGATCGTTTCGTGAGTACCGATTTGGGGAGCGCGATCGAGAATACGACGACGACGACGACGACGGCGGCGGTGGCGGTGGCGGCGGTGTCGTGGGTGGAAGAGGGAGAGAGAGCGAGTGCCAGAAGGGGGCGAGCGAGCGAGATCCCTCGACGCGGATGGTCATTGATTTTAAAAGAGAGCCTCGGCTCTTCCACCCCCCCCCCTCCTCCCCTCCCACTGCCGCTACCCACGATGGGGTTCTATTGATTTTTCGCGAATTCCAGCGGTACGCACACCCGCACGCGCCATGGGGTCTCCATGGCGTTCGATGCCCAATTGAGGAATTGATTGCCCGTCGCGGGTCGATTCGGCGAAGAGAGAGAGAGAGAGAGAGAGAGCGAGAGCGAGAATCCTTTATTTGACCTTCCTGCGGGCGCGGATACGGTATCTCGGGCGAATTTTTACGGACCTCTCCCCGCGGTGTCCTCTGTCCGCTTGACGGCACTTTGCTCCAACGAATAAATCATTTTCCCGTTAGTTTTCTCTCTCTCTCTCTCTCTCTCTCGTTCTCTCTTTTCCTCCTCGAGAAAAACGCTTATTTTTCCTGCATTGTATGAATTATGAATAGGGAAGTGTTAAATATATGCAAGGCGCCTGCAGCCGGAGCGCGTCAGTTCAGAGATATTTTTAAGACTGCAATTATGTTTGGAATAAATACTGGATGGAGCATAGATTTTTTAGATTGACATGTAGTTACGTTAAATTTAATTTCGAATAGCGATTTTTTATTTAAACTTTACCGTGTGTAATTTTCGGCCGAGATGTTTTCAGCCAATATCTCTTGATATATTTTTCCTCGCTTATTGTTACTTGTATCGTTAAAAAATATAAGATTATTAGAATATAAGATAATGCAAAGAAAATATGAAGAGTATAAAAGTAAATTTAGATTTTTGGTTTTTGTTCGTGTTGCTCTTAGCCAAGATGTTCTAATGTTTTAGTTTTTATGTACAGATATCTTATTGCCACGCAATGTATCTTTATTTTCTTTTCCACTGTTCTACAGAAGAATTTTTATTGTGCTTCCAGCTATTTGCAATAATCGTCTTCGGCTGTATAAGCAGCAAAGGCTATATCGCCCCGAAGGAAGGTGCGAAGGAGGTTTGTCTTTACAATGGGGACAATAATGCGTGCAACTACGGGGTTGGCATCGGCGTACTGGCGTTTCTGGCCAGTATCGGATTCCTCGCGGGTGAATACCTGTTCGAACAAATGTCGTCTGTCAAGACTAGGAAACATTTTGTCCTCATAGACCTGGGGTGAGCCGCGCACACGCTTTTACAGTCTTGCAGGACGTTGAGATAAAAAAATTCTTGTGTGCCCTTTAAAAGAATCATACGTCAAAAGTGCTTCCCTAGAATTCTTCGATTGACATAACTTGATACGTCACACATGTACAGCTGATGTGATACAGGATTAATATGATGTATAATTACAGTTTTTCGGGTTTCTGGTCTTTCCTTTACTTCGTGGGATTCTGTTACTTGACAAACGCATGGAATAACTCTGAAAGACCAAAGGACGGATACGGCGTGAATAATGTACAAGCGGCTATTGCATTCTCATTCTTCTCCATCTTTACTTGGGTACGTTAGACGAAATCTGTTCGACCAACAGTTTCATTTAATTATCAAGATATTTTTAGCTCTCTCTCTCTCTTTCTCTCTCTCTCGCTTCGGGAATTTTTATAGTAGTGTTAAATAAGTTGAATTTATATTTTTTTTAGGTATTTTTGAAGGTCAATGTGGTTTATAAATAGTATATATTCTTAGTCAAATACAATATATATATATATATATTGTATTTGACTAAGTCTTTATTAAAATATATTAATAAATAATAAACCTTAAATTTTTCTAAAAATTCAATCCAAACTTAAATCAGCTTCCCTTAATTTCCTAGCTCTAAAATTTCAGGGCCTATAAATTCATGAATATATACTATTTATAAACCACATTGACCTTCAAAAATATATATTTACATTTATTTATTTTTTTAGAATTATAATAATAATCTGCAGACGAACGATTGTGGGTTCGATAAATTTGACGTATTATAATTATTGTATTGTTATCTGTTATTGCAGGCCGCTTGCGCTTGGTTCGCGTTTCAAAGATTTAAGCAAGGTACCGACGCGGCGTTCGCACCGAGTTACGAGGCGGATCCCGTCGGTGGTACAGGATACACAAGCTATCCCGACGCCACTGACACGGCTTATCAGGAGCCGCCGTTCGGCCAGCAGCAACAGCGGGGTATGGGTGACTTTCAAGCCCCAGCTTACTAAAAAGTCATCCATAGTCGATACCAAAATGTATTTCCATTGGATGCGCAGCGAGCTACTTACGAAAGAAGATGATTTAGGATAATTTTTCAGAACAAGATATATATTGTTTTCCACCATCTGTTTTGCTTAAAGGTAATATTATTGCGTTAAATCGTCACTTCGTTATTTTACTCGTTACTTCATGGCTATTTTTCTTTTTTTTAAATTGATACTAATCTACGAAAAACGCAAGAGATAGTTTCTACGTTAAATGTAATCTCTGGTTCCGGTGAATATAATGTGTCAGAAGGTACGTGGAGGACGGGGATCGTCGTTCGTGAATCCTAGAATCGTCAAGTGCGCAAAATTCTCTTTTCCTTGCGGATAATTCGTACCTTCGGCGGACTTTCATGCCGGTAGTCATACATCGAATTGTATTTTCCTTTGCAGACTAAAGAAGAACTTCATTCGCTGATAGGTCGCTGGGCAGCGCCGTTGGTCATAGAGTAAGTTTTCATGGCGGGATGTAGAGGGAAGTTATTTGTTAAACTGTGCTTCTTATTGTTGACCACTTGTAAGTTATCACTTATCCATACGCCCGATGTCACAAAAAGGAAAAAAAAAATTTTAAGCGTTAGGTGTGTTTGAAGTCGTATACACGCCTGGACATGCGTTGTATCGACGACGTGGTGGCTACTGACCATCCTATGTGTGGGAAGTAAATATTAATATCATAATGAGTAACACTATATATATATATATACTTATATATATATATAGTTAAACTCCATAAATAAGTAAGAACTAGTAACATGCACACAGGCTATGTATATTTTAACGTTGTAACGTGTTCATGGTAAACGCGACTTAAATATAAACAAGTAATACAATGCGTTGCATTATTGTGCAATTTAGTATTAAACAAAAAATAAACGTATGTACACGAAGTCTAGGATTTGAAATGAGTAACTTTCGAATAAGTCGACACTGCAGTGTTTTAAAATATTATAGCGAGACAATATCTAAGTTACTTAAGTTACTTCGTCGTATCGGTTGCAAGATAATGAGATATTCCCTACAGAATAGCGTTAGCAAAATATAATTGCACTTGTAAACCGTGATGAATAGAAAACCAAAGTTTTTATTATATATAAATTCGTATATATATATATATATCTCTCCAAATTATAATAGGCATAACTTACACACATAAATTGCCCGCAGTGTTAATATATTTGAGTCGCCCTATATTTAATTCGTTAATACGATGAGAAAAGATTTATAAGTGTGAACACACATCTCAAAGTTTATTTTTATTTAATTTTTATATTTAATGATTCTTTACTTTGTAAGTATTTATGATATCTCAGGAACATGTTTTCAGTTATTCAGATTATATTTATTTAATTTATATTTTATTATTTATTACGCGAGGTGTAAATTTCAATGTGTATGTTGAAAAAAAATCCATTACGAAAGGTGTATGAAATTATTTTGATTTATAATAATGAACGTTAACGGAAAAATATATAATTTTGTGTTTGATCCTGGAGGCACGTGTATCGTCGAAAGAAAACAGCAATCTCGAATTGATTAATTGAAGTAGAGCGGAGTATAAAAGAAGAGTATTATACGTGTACTTATACGACATCATTTTAAATTTGTGCTTCAAAGCATTTATTTTTAAATGTTCTTTTATCGTATGCTGTATCAAACAATGTGAACGTCGTTAGGAACGTATGCAGTAATTTAGTAGTCTGAAAAATACTCGAGAGAATTATACATTCTAGGCATATATGCGATAAAACTGTACAGTTGAGTGTAAGATATATTCTTTGATTTCCGATTGCGTAGAGAGACGATGATTTTTATAGATAATTTACGTTCGTAGTTCTCCGGTCTCTTTCTCTCGGTATATCCGAGTTTGCATAATTCTCTTGAAGAGAATACACGATAAGGTCCCCCGATAATTTTGGAAAGCATAGTTTGTGTAAAATATTATTACGTGAAGTGCAATAATAATCATTATATGTATTCCCGATAGTTCTGAAAATGCCATCCCTTTGAATGATGCATGGATCAATTGATGAGAAAAATAGTTTTTCGACATTTAGTTGCACCAGTTCTTTTTTTTTTTGTGCATTTTTTCCTCTATGATCCATTTCGTTTGGACGCACACATTCAAGGGGTTGGATTTTTAGATGTTCTTCTCAAAATTGATCTCTCTCACCTCTTTGAAAATCTTAGCCCTTCTAAGTGCATATAGCTAATAACTCACCCAATTGTCGACTAGCACTGGTGTGACGCACACAGCTCATGTCCATCGAGAAGGATTGAAGGGCAATAACGAACACACAAGTCGAAAAGTGTAATTATCCTATAAGAGAGAAACAACGTGATTCGGTGGTAATTTCGCCTGTGAGATCGGAAGAAGCGCAGGAGAATAAATCGCGCGTACTCGACATCAGAATGTAAAACTATCAGAAAAAAAAGTGTCTACTACAACAAAAGCTGTAAAGGAATAAAAACGTGTATTGAGATGTGGGTATCGATAACTAAATAGCTGTTGTATTATTGTACTTATACATATATATATAATATACTACATGGATGTGTGTATATATATTATGTGTACATATACATATATATATATACATGTATATACACACACATCTAAAATCATTGCATTTAATGCAGTAGCAATGCGTATGCGTCTGTAAAGATTTTGAGTGTTTAGGGACGATCTATAATTGTAACTTGAAAATAGCCAAAATACAATATAAGTGATTATTTTTATGCAAGCATCCAAATGATTGTACGACAGCTAAGCTCGACACGGATTACGTTTTATCTCGCGCGATCGCGGTCTGTCCGCTTTTCGAATTTCGATTCATGCCGACATGTGTTGACGTATTATTTTCCCTCTTATTTAGATTCGTTACACAGACTGTTCAGCTGTGGTCTGCCGCGGCCGTCGACAAGACACGCCAAGTCGCCACGAGAATTCCTTCATCAAAAGCGTACACGTTTATATATGAAATATATAAACGTTACACTTCCAGCAACGTTGCGTTTTCCTTTTCAACAAAAATGTAAACGAATTTGCTGACTTACCGTACGCAGTCACTTATTGCAGCATACATATTAGCGACTTATTAACGCGAGTACGAAATTGAATATATCGTATCTTCGTTTTAGTTTAAAGACGTTTTATAGTAGCTTCACAAAAATTTCGTTTTATACACCCGCTACGATTGTATATATATATAGCACCGTCTTGTAGAATTTATATTCGCAGGGAAAAAAATGCAGGATTTTATTTCTTAATAAATCTTTGAGTGCCTAACACGCGGTATGTTTCTTTTCACGTTTTTTCAGGAAGATATTTATATATTCATATGAACCCTGATATAAATCATCAGCACAATTAAATCCATATTCGATCCTTCAATTACATCTTCGCGTCTTTCTATACAGCTCATTTATTTGTCCAAATAAATTTGATAATTTTATTTAAAAAAACTTATCAAAAAATCGTGCAAAAATCGCTTCATCTTTTTCATAGATTATTTAGTAGTGACAATAATAAATTATACTATCTAGATTATTTGGTCTAAAAATAATTAACCTACTTTTAGACATTTAGACTTTTACATTTTGCGAACGTCTATTTATAAAGTGACAAATAGTGTTTGACACAGGTACATACACACAAAGCTACATCGCTACTTCGAAAATATTTATTTCATCTTTTTGAACTTCTTTCTCTCTTTTTCTAGCGTTTGATGTTTCTCTTCTAATTCACTGACTATACTCGGTACATGCTCCATAAGCTGCTCGCCGGTGAGCTCAAAGTTCGCGTCGATCCACATCCTCTTCAATTCGTTCAAGACTCTGCCGATCACCTTCTGCGTCGGCACGTGTTTCATCAGCATGCTGCCGGTGACGGGAAACCTCGGGATTGCCCATCGTTCGAATTCGTCCAGCAGCTGCATCGCGCCGCGATATCTCAACAGCTCCCTCACGTACTCCTGAAGGACGTCGTACCTCTTCGTTTGCTGAAGGAGCACCAGCTGCTGATAGGGTCGCAGCGGTCTCTCGCAGGGCTTGTCCTCCCGATGCTGGACCAGGAAGAGCGCCAGATCTCTGTCGGACTTGGACAGCTTCAGTCTCTCGTGCAACTTGACCACCTCGCGTTCGTCCTTCAGCATCGACACGATCAAGGATATGGGCTTCAGGGTCACGTCGTTCGTCCGCGCGCGCTGATAAACTTCACGGAGATTCTCCACGTCGGGTTCCTCGGGTAGACCGATGTACCTGCCGCTACCGCACTCGAGCAGCTTCAGGGTCAGTTCCAGGGCGTAGTTGCCGGCTAGGATCTTGCTCCATTCGTTCCAGATCCGCTCGCCGGATATCTGCTTCAGGCCGTCGATGTTCTCCCTCAACGCCTTTATCGTAGCCTCGTCGTGCTGATCCGGCTTGTCCATTATTCTCCCGTAAAAACGGAAGTACCTGGCGGTAATTGAACGATTAATGCAAACCTGGTGTGAGTCTTGAAGATTCAGGATTGCGATATATATATGTTACCGCGTCAAAATCCATAGACAATCGTTAAAACCCGATTTTACTAATTAAAAATAGTTTTAAATTTAATTGAAACGTTTATAATTGTATTATTTCACAATTGGGTTTTCGACTTTCCATGCATAACGAGGTCCAACCTCCCCCTGTTTAAGGGACGAAACAAGATCTATAACTGTATTGTTCACATAGGTTTTCGATTTTATGTTTAATTAACCATTCTACTTTTTACTAGTAAATTCGAGTTTTAACGGATTGTGGATTTTGGCGGTAACATATATAATATTCATGATAATATATGTTACATTGTAATATATATATATTACACAATGGGAAGTAACTCGTTACTTGTAACGAAGTTACAGTTACAGTTACTTTTTTTCAATAACTGTAACTTAACTTTGTTACTTTCTTTCCTTGTGTAACTGTAACTTAACTTATTGTTAGTTAGATTTTTTTAAGTAACTAATTTAATAGTTACTTTTACAGTAACATACATCAAATCACTTTCACGGATCAAAATTATGCAACACTTTCGCTCAATCACCTAATCATGATAACGTTGATTGTAATTATGCTCATATTTAAATACGTGCATTACTTTTCTTTTTTAAATAAAATTATATAATATGTAAATGTAAATCTTTTTTTTATAATGCTAATATTATTTCTATGCTAATGTATAATTCTATTAAAAGTAAAGACTGAAAAGTAACGATTTGTTACTTTTTGAGAGACAAAAACTGTAACTGTAACTAGTTATTTTTACAAAATGATTTTCCCAATGTTGTGTATATATATATATATAGTATATAGAATAATATACAATATATATTGTATTGAATAATATACAATTATATATAGTATATAGAATAATATACAATATATATTGTATTGAATAATATACAATATATATATAGTATATAGAATAATATACAATATATATATAGTATATAGAATAATATACAATATATATACTCCTACATTAATAGCATAGCGCGTACCTTAAGATTCGAAGGTAATCCTCGCATATCCTGACACCAGCGTCGCCGACAAAAACGATCCTCTTGTTCTTGAGGTCGTCGTAGCCGTAGAAATAATCGTACACCCGGCCGTCGAGGTCGAGGAACATGGAGTTGATGGTCAGATCCCGCCTGTTGGCGTCCAGCTTCCAGTCCTTGGTGAACTCCACCTGGGCGTGCCGGCCGTCGGTCAGCACGTCGATTCTCAGGGTGGTGATCTCGAAGTTCTCCGCGTCGTTTATCCTCGCCGTGATCGTCCCGTGCCTCTCGCCCTTCTCGTTTATCATCCTGACCGCCTCCCGCGCGAACATCTCCCGCATCTGCTGCGGCGTGGCGTCGGTCGCGAAGTCCAGGTCCTTGGGCCGCACGCCCGTGAGGATGTCGCGCACCGCGCCGCCGGCGATCCGCAGCTCGTAGTTGTGCTTCCTGAACAGGCCCGCGAGGCACCGCAGCTCCGGGGTGAAGACGGAGCGGAACTCCGGGCTGTCGAGCCTCATGACCACCGGGTCGTCCCGCGACGGCGGCGGTTCGTCGCCCATCCCGGTCCTCCTCCACGCTCTCTCGCGTTCCGTTCGCGTTACCCCGTACCTCCGCCGCACCTGCACCGGCAATGAAAACAGATACGTGTTATACCCACGGTTGTTCACGTGTCCCCCCCCCCCCCGCACGTGTGTCGTACGTCCACCCCCCCGAGCTCGCTCGCCCGGGAAAGCGCTCCAGGTGGGCGATGTTGTTGGGGTTATGTTGACTTTAACATAACCTCACTTCTAAATCCCCATAGCGTAAAGACCGATCCGATTCTACTTACGTTAATGATATCGCGACGAAGGAAATTTACGGTATGCCGTGTCAATGCATTTAACATAGCGCTCACATGCGCGTCAGCTTGTTATTTCTATGCGTAAGACGCACGTGTCACGAGCACTGTACAATCACCCTCTCCCATTTCATCTTGCGCGAATGATTGTCGCACTTGTCGCTGACTAGTGTCATATACCTACATATATACATATCATATATATAGAGATGTAAATAGAAAAAAAAAACAATTTTTTTTTTATAAAATACGTTTTTTTTTTAAACATAAGCCTCGATTTTTTCTCAAAATTTTGCTTTTTTCAGCTATATCTATATTTTGCTTATAAGTTAATGTTTCCTGATTTTTTATTTTATAGATAGTAGATTTAAATTATTATTTTAATCTTTACGCAGAACGAGAAAGCCAATATATTGATTCTGAGACATATTTTGAAGCAAGGACTTCGATGAATAATTATAATAATTATAAATAATAATATAAATAATAATTATAATAATTATAAATAATAATTATAAATTCTACTTAAGAAAAAGCTGTTTAGAAAAAGAATTAAAATTCTCCTTTTGTAAAAGTTAAATGTAGATCACATTAAAATTAATTATATAAATAAATACTATTTGCAATTAATTAGTCGTGCTATCGGAATTAGAAAAAAAACTAAATTTGTATTTTTTCAATGAAATAAAACACGTTTTTTTCTAATATTTTTTTCTATTAGATAAAAAACGTTTTTTTTACATCTCTATATATATAATTATATATATATAATTACATACATATAATAATTAACTACATATATATAAGTAATTGTCATCTCGAGAACATTCCAATTCTACCGGTGTAAAATGAAAAATATTCTTCTTTTTAACATATATATATTTCTTTAATTTTTTAATATTTTCTCCAAATAATCCATTTATCTTTGGTCTACTTTGCTTTTTAATTAATTTTCTTTATGATGTACGTGTAAAAGCATACTTAATTATATATATTTATGCAAAATATTATTATTCCTATCAAAAAAAGGCATGTTAAGTCGATAATTCGCATTTCTCAAAATTATTTGTTGCCGCTTTTCCGATGCTGATTGATTATCTCAATATGCTTACTTCGTTGAGCGGCTGTCATTACGTACATTTTGACAGTTAATTATATGTGTATTGAGATTTGTTTTAGTAATAAAATTCATTGGTCTTTTATAAAATATTACATAAGTATATATGTCCCTTCACCTTCGTATATTACATACATATGTAATTGTCAAATGCTGTGTCTAATTATTCGCTGTGACAAGCATGTGACAATCATGTATGTAACACACGAAGGTGAAGTGACACGTATGTAATATTTTACAAAAGACTGAAGAGGGCTTGATGTAAAACCGAAATGATCGTCTGGTAGCATTAATGTAATTTGCAAGTATTATAAGTATATTAAAGTGTCAAAGGTATCAAACCTTTGATACAGTATATTAAATATCACAAAAATTATTTTAAATTGAACAATAATATATTTCAGGCTCCGAGAATTAAAATTAAAAATAAATAATTTCAATGGGCCAGGAACCAAGCAAGTAGGTCTTCCTGCTAATTCGTTATATTCATATAAAAAATTACATTAATGCTACTTGCAGACGATCATTTCGGCTTTACATCAAGTCCTTTTCAGTGATCTTTTATAAAATATATTACATACGTGTCGCTTCACCTTCGTGTGTTACATGCATAATTGTCAGACACTGTCTAATTATCACAGCAAATAATTAGATACAGCATCTGACAATTATGTATGTAACACACAAAGATGAAGGGACATGTATATTTATGTAATATTTTATAAAAGCCCAATGAATTTAATTCTCTTCGTTTCAAAATTTTTACACTTCTTTTTTTCCTTCTATCGCTATTTTATTCCTTTAATTCCTTTTTCTTATTTAATCATTGTAAAAAACATGTTTCGACATATCTGTTGATTACAAAAGATATTGTTAGCAGTACTATAATATTTTTTAAAAATATTTTACTAATACCTGAAAGAAAAAAGTAAGACGAGAAATGAAAGTTATCAACTTAACATGCCTTTTTTTAGATAGGATATGATATGTAAGAGATATATAAAAGTAATTAATGAGATATTTAATATGATATTTGTATTTGCGTGTGTGTATTATGTTTCAGGGATAGTGAACAAATGGCACGCGCAAAACGCGCGTTCTATTTTGTTCTAGTAGAAATAAAAAATAGAGAATATAAAATACAAACAAAGAAGAGAGAATATAAACTTGTATAATACAAAAAAATATGTATATATATATATATATATATATATATATATATACAAAATTATGTATAATTTATATAAAATTAAATAATATAAATTTACATTTTATTTATAAATTTAATTTATACAAAAAGTTACACATACAAAGCAGAAATATAAAAGTATATATACATATATACTATATATTCAAATTCGCAATTTATTTCAGCTAATATCTTACTTCCTCCAGTGGCGGATACAGGGGGGGGAGGGGCGGAGGGGGCGATCGCTTTCCCCCCCAGGGCTCTCCAAACAAATTTTATACATTGGAAAAAGTCGGTTTAAAATAAATTAAGAAAATAAATTATCAGAGATTATTCGAAACTAAATAATGTTCACTCAATTTTTTTTTAATAATAAAAAATATTAAAAATAACATCAACGACAATAATAACTAAATATTCACATTTTGTCATATCCATCCCCTCCCCTTCCCCAGAACTTTCTGAATTCGCCACTGATGACTTCCTTTAAATTATAATTTTTTAGAAGATACGAAATTTAAATAGTTTGCTGTATTTAAAGTCAATGGCTGCGTTCGGGAAGGGCAGTATTAGCGCTAATGTCATATTCTATCCTTGTTTTATGTCTAATAAATAATAAGGATAGAATGACAATAGTGCTGATAGCGCGCTCCCCGAACGTATAGCCAATGCATATTCCCCTAATAATTTAGGGATGAATTTTTTTTCGCTTAATCTCTATCTTTTGGAAAGAGAAAGGTAAATACACGATTTTAAAGCATAATTCGGAACAAGATAAAATTGCAGAAAGCTAAAAACCGTTTGACAACAGATAAAGGCTTGCTTTAGTAAGATAAGACTCCGCAGTTAACATTATTAATCTCGATGTTTCTCGTCGATTCGCCGAGAATATGAATTGAATGAGCGAATTCGATAATATTAAACTCTTTATTCTCCTTTCGTTTATGTACATTGCTATTTAGTACAAAAGAGAGTTTCATGCACACAAGAATTAACGACGGTTTAACGATGGATTTAACATCACTTTACTGACGTAAATGGTCGTCGGCATAATTATTTCGTTTATGAATATCGATGTTATCGCTGATGATATTTTATTCTATGATACGGATCGTCACACATGTTTCGCTCAGATTCACCTCCCCGGTGCCAGTGTGTCGTATGTTTTTTCTGACACACACATATATATATATATATATATATATATATATATATATTTATAAGTACCTGTGTACGTTCCAAAGAGGATGCAATTTTTCGCTGTTTCATGCGTAAAAAGTATAAAAACCTATCCCACACACACATATATGTGTACTCGCGATTGCACGATACTGAGCCGTGCAATCCGGTCGTGAAATGTACAACAGAATTAATTTTTATAGATAGGCAGCTAATACAATTGTGCATCTATTTAATTACGAATTAATATACGTACATGTATAACAATATCTTGCGTAACAGCGCTTTCCGAAATTAGAGGATTTCCATTGTGGCGTGCCATTAGAGATAGTGGACGAGCGTGTTTACCCACCGGATATTGTTTCGGATATTGTTAATTTCCTTCTATCATGTGTGTATTTCTTAGCGATTGGAAAAATACCTATGTGCCGATAGGCTTAAAAACGAACACGTTTGTACCCTACGAAAGTATGCAAAAAAAAAGAGTTGCAGCCGTCACGTTTATTTACGTTTATTGACGCACGTCACGTAACTCACTTGCGCCTAATTATACGCATACTAGTTCCGGTACGTTATACATTCTGCACTTTGGAACATCGAGTACCTCTTGGAGAGAAGATTGGAAAAAAAAAACGGATCGCGTCCTGCCTTCTTGCAAGCAACACACGTAGGTTCACGTCTCGCTTATCTCCCAACAAGGTCATCTAATTCTGTATCTTATTAATATCATGTCAAGTAAATTGTCAAGATCGCACGTATGCGGTATGCCGTCATATACATATACATAACGGAGGCATGTCGTGTGAAACTAGGGCAATTAATGCTAAAGAGGCGAGAGACGTGAACCTACGGGTTACAGCATCCGTGTGACAGTAGTAGTTCTTTTTTTTTCTTTTTTCGTTCGTTCTGAAAAGCGGAACGGGCTGTGAACAAAACGTGACGTTCTCCGAAATTCTTAGAGATTTCTGCCTTTATATGTATATCGGACACGTACAGACACGAATCACAAGCGAACGCATAATAAAACACATCAGGCTAAATCAATGTCACATACAGAGACAACGTTTCGGTAATATTTTATACATGATTTATTTACATCTGAAATCGCTGATTGGAAATGTGTGTTTTACAAGAGTATGAATAAAAAGTGAAACAAGTTGCGGCATATATATATATATATATCCTGCCATGGAGACTCCATGGTACTCGTATGAAAAAGATCTCCGCAGGCCATTTTTTTTTTCTTCGCTTGTATAAAGTAAGTTCGAAGAATCTACTGGGATTCACAGATTTAAGGATGTACTGATTTTACAGCGCAAGTTGCTGGGGGGGAGGGAAAAAAAAAATACGCCTGGCCATTCGCTTCCTCTTTCATAAATAGCGACTCGTATTACTTGAGCGTCTATTTTTTGTCGTCAGTTTCTCTTTTTTTTTTCTTTCTTTGAAATTACACAATCACACTCTAAAATATGAGACCTTATCGTACAATATATTCCCTCTAGTTAATTTAGCGAAGGGATCGTTGATCGTTGATCCCGAATCTATTTCATCGGGAGGCATCGCAATGATGCACGGGCCGTATATTTTCGGACAGAGGCCGTACATCGTCGGGTTGCCTACGCGAATTACGCGCGAACGTGTCTAGACGTTAATATTTGTGAATAATAATAATAATAATAATAATAGCAATCACGAATCTCTTATTCGTATTTGAACAATTAGATAAATAAAAATATTACGCTTATTACAATTAATAAAGTATGTACACACAATAGATGTTTCGCTCGTCAATAGATGTATACGTGTAAGATATATGTATGTATATGCATGTACATATATATATTATATATACACATATACATGCATACGTCCAATTCACTTACCATCGAGAGAAGATAGAATGTGATTTACGCGTGGTCTAAGGAGAGGCCTAATGTTGAAGAAGTTTCTAATGCGCTAGGATTGCCAACACGTGATCAACTCCATAGAGTCTTCCTGTAAGTTTCATTAAATGCAGTTGCACGAAAAGATGATGCAGCATTAATTCCGCTCGCGAGATTCGGAGGGATATGTATAATATATATATATATATTTATATTTATTTGATTAAGTACGCCCAAACAATTTATCACCCTAAAAAGCTATATATACATATTACGGTTGCATTCGTACTTCACTTACGTAGGTTTCGCTATCTTGGCAGAAGACGTCTTCTTCTTGTTGTTCCGACACTTCTTTACATACGCTTCAATTAGATGGGCTATCTTTTTAGGATTAATCTCGCCTGTCTTATTATGACATATCTGTAATTACATAATTATATAGGATATTTTTGTTATTTGTTATTATCGGATTATATTTAATTCGATATATTGCTTTTTTTTTTAATTGAACAGGAAATCCAAGTTTAATGCTCACACACCTTAGGTACTGCTTTACGCATGATGTCTTTATATTCCTCTTTCGTAATGTGCTTTTTGGTATAGTGGGGCTTGAGAACTAATTTCACTTCCTCCACCACTCTCTCCTGTCGGTTTAGTTTCTTGAGAAACTGTAACGCGATACAGATAAAAAGATTTTTATATGCACATATTTTACAATACAAATTACACGTTAATGTTCATTGCCATACCTTATCTTTAACTTGCATTTCTACAGCAGAACTAGGAAGATCGTCCAGGATTTGAAGCTGATTTTCGTCCATGCGGACGCCAACTTTAGGATTGGTGGCTGTAAAATGTATCATTATATATAAGCCAATTACTGAATCTGTCCGTTAATATTATTAAGAAAATGTAATATAATATAATATTATAATTAATGTAATATAATATAATTAATATAAATGTAATATATAATAATATTATAAATGCAATATAATATAATATTATAATTATAATGCAATAAAATATTATTAAGAAAATGTTAATGATAAAACTTGTAAAAGAAATAAAACTTTTGAACTTCAGCATCTGCTGTATTGTTCATACAATTATAAATAAGATTCAGAAATCTCTGTGTATCGTCTGGATTTAAAAAAGGTAAAGATTAAAGTACGTACATTTCTTCGTCTTTTCCTTGACGATCTGTTTCTTGCTTCTGTTTTTGGTTGCAGTCTTAACTGGCGGCAGTATTCCACCGAACAGCGCGTCGAACGCGTCCTTCTTCTCCGCACTTTTATTGACCTTCGGCGCGGTGGTTTTAGGAACGACGGGCGGTGGTGCGTTCGCAACGGGCGAGTTGTTGAAGTTGGCGGGGCTGGGCGGATCGAACAAGCCGTCGCTCAGGGTCGAGCCCGGAGAATACGGGGACGACATATCGACGACATTGTCATTCGTCATATCTATGGTCGCGTCGTTGCCGTTCTGCCCCACCGTCGAGCTGGCTTTACCCTGGGCCGATTTCGAGGTTCGCGCTATGGTGGATGATTTCGCGGAGTTCGCGAATATATTGGGAAGCTGCGGCCTGTCGTTTGTGCGTTGCTTCATCTGATTGCTCGGCGAGATGCGACTAGGCTGCAAAAAGGAGATCAAGTGTCAAACTAATTTAGATAGGATTAAGATAGAACTAATTTAGATAGGATTAATTTAGATAGGATTAAGATAGGAAATCGAAGATTTGATTCGGCAATTTGCCGTATTTAGAATCAATCCGATTAAACCTGAAAGGAGGATGTTAAAAAGGGATCGATTTTGATCCCCAAAGGTGTAAGTGAAAACATTGTTGTTTTCACTTACAAATCTTTGGAAGCCAAAATTGGTCCTTTTTTTTAAACATCCTCCTTCAAATGACAAATACCTGCAGCAGGGTCCTTTGCGTGGTGTTAGGCGTGCTGGCGTTGAAGCTTCTCTGCACCGCGGCCGCCACCGTCGCCAGCACGGGATTGATGGTGCTGAACGGATTGGCGGTCGACTGCGCGCTCTGCGGATTCTGCTGGGTCTTGGGCGGGCTGCTGCCGCTGCACGACTGGGCCATGTCCGTCTGACTCTCGGGCGCGGGAGACGCGGCGACGTCTCTCTGCGGCGACGGTCGCTTGATCGTCACTATCGATATTATCTTTGGCTTCTCTATCGGCTTCTCCTGACTGGGCTGTTCCTGCTGCTGGTTACCGGGCTCGTCCAACGGCAGCGGGGTGTCCGCGGCGCCGTCGTGCTTCCTGGGCGAGTTGCGCTGCGCCCGGTCGCGCTCGTCGTTCGGCGTGGCCTCTTGACTGGCGTCCGGAGTGGGCGAACGGGACTTGGTGGGGTCGAAGGGATCGTAAGCGTCCGGGGAGGTTGGCGGGGACGTTGGCGGCTCGGGAGGTGTGTTGGGGCCGATCTTGAGGCGCAGCTCCAGCTCCTCCTGCGCCCGCATCTCGAGCTCCTCCTCGGCCCGCTCGTCCATCATCTCCTCCTCCTCTTCCTCTTCCTCCTCCTCCTCCTCCTCCTCTTCCTCCTCCAGCAGAGGGTTTATCAGGGACGGTCTGAGATTGCTGGGCTGCTTGTTTATGGAGAACTTGATCTGCGGCTCCGGCGGCGTCTTCGGGCCTTGCGAGACGAACTGCTCGCGCGGCGGCGACGCCTGCGACGGCTGGCACTGCTCCGGCGACGCGGCGAGTGTCTCCTGCGCCTGCTTGTCGTCGTCGTCGCTCAGCACTATAACGTCGCGGGGCGATGGCGTCTGTTCGCGGAACGGCGACTGATCGAGATCGATCACGGCGACGGGCTTCTTCGTCGCCGCGATCTCCGCCGCCTTCGACTTCTTCTTCTTGTCCTTCTTCACCTTCGGCGACTTCGATCGCTTGTCCTTCGTCTTCTCCTTCTTCGAGCGCTTCGCGGAGGGCGCCGACTGCTCCGTCTGAACGGACTCCCGCCGTCGTCGTTTTATCGGCGGTGACAATGGAATAGTTGGCGGTAACTCCGGCGTGGCCGACGGATTTATCTCGTTGTCCTTGTTGAAACACACGCTAACTAGTATATTGTCCCCGCTGGCGAACACCTCCTTCGACGGCGGCGGCGTCCTGTTGCGCTTGCCCTTCCGCCGCTTCTCCGCCTCCTTGGACTTCCGGCTCTCTTTTCGCCGCTCCTTCTTCTTCTTCTTTATCGCCTCCTTGTTCGTCAGTATGACAGTCAGGTTCTTCGGCGACACGCTGTCCAGCACGGAGGGCGGCGACCAATTTCGCGCGCCGATCGGCTCCTGCTGGATGTGCGGCGGTGTCTTCGACCTCGAGCGCGACCAGGACGGCGTCCACTGCGCGCTCCACGAGCGCTCGTGCTCCTCGCGTTCGCGCGGGAACTGCTGCTGCTGCTGTTGCTGCTGCTGCTGCTCCTGCTCCACGCTCTTCTCCACGTTCAGCTGATCCCAGTTCCTGTTGCGATCCCGTTCGCGCGAGATCGACCTGTCCTTCGACCGTGACCGACTGTGCGCCTTCCTCTTGCCGTGCTTCTTCTCGCGCGTCTTGGACGACGTTCTCTTCGGCGACGCCTTGCTGCGCGATCTCTTGCGGTTCCTCGAGCGACTGCGCGACTTGTACTTCTTCGTCTTGTCCTTCCGCTTGTCGCGCGTTCGCGACAGCGATCGCCGGGCGCGCCGTCTGGGCGACAGCGAGCGCCGCTTGCGCGACACCGATCGCGACCTCCTGCGGGAGATCGAGTGGCGCCTCGACAGTGATCGCCTTCGCGACTTGCGCCTGGTGCGGGACGACGATCTGCGCGAGTTGGAGCGGCACGACTTCGAGTACGACTGGCCGCGATCTCTCGACCAGGACAACCGGAGGCGGGATCTGCTCTTCGACCGTCCCTTCGAGTACGACCGGCTCCGTCGATCCTTCGAGCCCGACTGAATTTTATTCGACGACCGACTTCTCGATCTGCTTCGCGACGACTTCTCCCTGATGTCCCGGCCGTACTCGTCCTTCCTCGGCCGGGACGGCTTCTCGGCCACGATCTTCCTCACGTCGTATCGCGGCAGCTCTTTCCTCTTCTCCTTCTTCTTACTGACCTCCTTCGCCTTCTTCTTAGACTTGTCCTTGTCCCTCTCCTTCTCCTTCGACCTGGACCGTTTGTCCTTGTCGCGATACGGCCGGTCCTTCGTGTTCTTCGAAAGTTTCTTCCACGAGACCAGATTGTCCGACGAGATGTTCTCCTTGTTCTTCTCCGTGCTCTCCTTGCTCTTTTCCTTCTTGTCCTTCTTCTTCCTCTTCTTGCCATCGTCTTCCCTCTCGTCCTTCAACTTCTCACGCTCCTTCACATCCAGCTTGCTCTCGTCCAGTATCTCGCCGTCCTCCATCTCCTTCTCCTTCTCCTTTCGTAACGCCAGGGCGATTAGCTCCTCCTCGAAATTAATCGCCTCGTCGGTCTCGGATATAGCCTCGGTGCCCAGCTCGGCGTAACCGGCCGGCGATCTGCAGTCATCCAGATCGTCGTTCGTCTTGTCCTTCGTTGGCGTGATGGGCTCCAAGCCGGCCTCGAACGGCACCGTACACTGCTGCTCCTGCATATTCTCATCCCTCACGGGCAGCTCGTCTTTGCAGGGTGTGTAAGCGCCGTCCGATTCCCAGCTGTTGTCGACGAAAGTGGCGGGTGCGGGCGGCTCGTCGTCCAGCTTGTCCTTCTCGATCGGAAACTGCTCCGCCTCGTCGTCCACCGTCGAGAAGCTCTCCTTCTCGTGCCGCTGATCCGACGAGTTTGGATCCTCGTTGTCGCTCGACGCTTTATCGTTGTTCCTATCGTCGCTGTCCACCTTGGCGAGTTTATGACTGCTCGTCGGCGAACGCTCGTCGTTGTCGTCGTCGTCCTCGTCGTCGGTACTCCATTCCCGCTCGCGCGAGTCGCCGCGCGCGCTCGTCTCGCCGCGCAACTCGGCCTCGGGACGCGACAACGTGGTCTTGTTCGGCACGTCGCCACCCTCCAAGTCCTCCGAGCTGCATTCCATGCTCAACTCGCTGCCGTCCAATTTTCTCGGCGACGACCGGGCCGTGTCGGGAGCCGACAACAGCACCGCGCTTTCCGCGACCACGACGGTCTCGCGCGGCGTCGCCGCGTCCGCCGCCGCCAATTGCAACACTTCCCGTTCGTCGTCGTCCTCCTCCTCCTTCTTGTCAGGTGAAGCGTCGACGTGTCTCGGCCGTTCGTCCACCTTCGTAATTTCGTCGTCCGACGAGCTCTCCGTTATACGGAACTCTTTGCTTCCGCGCCGACTATCGAGCGCATCTTTCTTCTTTGGGCTCGCTGGAGCGAGTTCCGTCTTCTTTTCTTCCTCCTCCTCCTCCTCCTCCTCCTCTTCGGCAAATTGTGGTCCTATCTTTATCAACGGATTCAACGCCGCCGACGATCGTGCGGCTGTAGACTCGATCGCTGACTTTGACGAACCGACACCCCTGTCGCTGTCTCGCTCCTGTTGTTGCTGCTTGCTTTCGACCGGCGGTGCCGTGACCGTTCTTTTCTGAAGAAAACTCGTGTTCTGCGAATGATCGTCCGCGTGCAGGCCGCTCAGCCGATTGTTGAGCCTGAGTTTGTTGCCGATCTTGAAGGTGATCTTACCACGCGAGTCGTGCGAGATCTTCTTCGGTGGTATCTTACTCAGGGTCTGCCGCTCCTTCTGCAGCGCCTCGAGATAGGGATCGGCCGGCTCGGGCGGCACGTCCGGCAGATCGCAGGCTTGAACGTCCCCCACGATGATGTCGTCGTCGTCGGGGATGTTGGGCGGCATAGGCGGTGGCTGTAGCGGTCCGATCTGCTGCGACAACTCCTGTTCCGTATGCCTGGCTACGTCCATGGTCTGCGACGAGTAGATGGAAAAGTTCGGGCAGTCCGACTGCGAGTCGTTGTCATCTTCGTCGTCGTACGCGGTCAACCGAATGACTTCCTGCCTGCTCTGGGCCTGCGTCGCCGGCATCGGGGGATACGCCGCCGAGACCAACGGCGGCGCGATCGGCATGGGGATGTTACAGCTGTCCAGGCTGTTCCGCGACACTTCCGCCTTCTCCAGCGCCGTCTTCAACGGGGCGGCGACGTCGTCGTTGCTGTCGCTGTCGGCCGCGAACGGATCGTATTTGTCGCCGCTCGCCGTCAGATCTCTCGTCGTCGTGTCCTCCTTGTGACTGTCGTCGATCACCAATTCCTGCTCGCTGTCGTCCTTGTCGCTTCTGGAGTTCTCCTCGAAGTCCAGCAGACCGGACGGCGGTTCCGGCGGCGGCAGCAGGATCATCGAGCCGTTACTGTGAAGCTCCTCCTGTGCCTCGCAATCGGGCTTCGATGGCGGTTCGATGTCGCAATAGATGTCGCAGTCGTCGTTGTCCTGTCGCGTGGCGGGCGACGCGGCCGCGGGTGACGCAATTACGGGCGACACGACCGCGGGATCCGGCATCGCGATGCGATCACTTTGCTCGGGCGGCGGCTGATAATTCCGCGCCATGTCTTCCGGCAGGTTGACCGAGGGCGGTAGACTGTTGTGTATGTGAATCGGCTGCTGCATACCCATGGGATCCGGTGCGTTTAACGGCGCGATGGACGGACCACCGGGAGGCGGTATACTCAACGGGGGTAGCCTGGGCCTGGGAAATCGGTCCGTCGCGTGCGGAAACGGTCTCTGCTCGAAGCCACCACTGCCACCACCGTCCGTATAATTAAACGGCCGCTCGGCGGGCGGCGGCGGCGGCGGAAAACGCAGCCGCTCGTTGCGGAAGTGCTGGGGATTGCGGCTGCGGAACGGCGGCGGCGGCGCGTGGGCGCCGAACATGGGCGGTCCGCCGCAGTGCTCGAAATTCGGATTGTAGAACGGCGGCGGGCCGAAGTCGCGATTCCCAAAGTTGTCCCGCGGACCGCCGCCGCCGGTCCCACCGCTGTAATTGTGCCTGCCGCTCGGTGGCAGCGAGTCCCGGCCACCGCCGTAGGTCTGCCCCCCGTGGCCGCCGTGTCGGCCGTTGTCGCGGCCGTAGCCACCCCGGAAGTTTCCCCGGTTGCCGCCGCTGCCGCCGCCGCCGCCACCACCGCCGCCTCCGCCGCAGGGATTGTTGTACATCGGCGCCTGGGTGATGTCGTTGGAATTGATATTAGACAGATCCAGCGGCGTGTCAACCGCCTCCAGGATTGCCTCCTCGTGTTTTATGACCTCCTCCTCCTCAACCTGCTTCTCCTTCTTCGGACTCTCGTTGTTATTGATGCTGTGCTTGTTCTCCTTCTCGGGATTATTCACCATCAGCAGACCGTCAGCCTTCAGAATCACGTCGTCCTTCTTCTTGGTCGAATGCCACAGCTCCTGACTGCTCATTATGCTGCTCAGTAGATCTGTTATGCCTATATTATCCACCTCGTTGACCGGATCGACGATAGTTTTCAAAACGGCGCGGCGTCTGATCGACGGCACCGCCAATCGTCGTTGTCGTACATTTACCATTGGACCACCTCCAACCCCAATGGAATATTCGCCATCATCGTCCGATCTAAGTAAAATAAAAAAAATCATTTTCCATTAAAATATTTTGCTGAAATATGTTCGTTATATTTCGACCATTTTTAAAATTCATCAAAAATCATCTGAATAGAGGATTAAAAATTATACAGTTAATATCTCGTACGGGTGCATTTTGCACAAAATAAAAACAGTGTGTGAGGCCGTTCGCTATTAAAATGCCAATCTTTACTAAAATGAAACGTAATTGCATCTTTAACTGTGCGTATATATAATCAAGGAATTACACAGACTGATTGACGGATTAATTAAGGAGTGAATAAATATATAGGATCAATCGCTCACCCAGGTGGACTGTAATCTAATCCCAGATTATCTCCAAAGAGACTGACTTGAGGTATACCGGCGCTGTATCTGGCGTTCATGAGAGCGCTTTTCTCAGGAATAGAGGAGACATTTTTCATGGTGGGCACGAGCAGCGGCACCTTCGGCTTCTCCATACCGAGCGTCGAGGCCAATCTTCTTTTTACCGTACGCGTGCTAGTCAGCACGGACGCTTCAGCGCGCGCACGTCGTTTGTATTTTCTCCTCTGGAGAAATAGTAACTACATATGTGCTTTTTTTCATAAAGACGATAAGAAAGGTATAGACAATGTATATATATACAGGGTAGACCATTTTAATCCATCCAGTCGAATATCTCGAAAATCAAGCCCGGGAGAGAAAAATTTTTCAGACAAAAGTTGTAGGGTTTTGAGGGGGACATAAGATGATAACATTGGTTTGACCCTGAGTGGCGTCGTCAAGGTCAGGACAAGGTCACTTTGAATTTTTTAAATGGAACCCCCAATTTTTCATTACATGTTCTTATAGCACGCCTCAAGAACTTTCCAAAACACATAAATGAAATATTTTTTTACAAAATAAATCTTGAGTTATGAAGCTTGAAAGTTGGAGTATTGTCGGCATTAGCATCATCCAAGGTGTCCAAACACTAGCTAAAGATGGCCAAGGTCGTTGGCCTTTATCAATGTCATAATCCTGAACAACATTCAAAATGTTTTAGCTAGTGTTTGGACACCTTGAATGATGCTAATGCCGACAGTACTCCAACTTTCAAGCTTCATAACTCAAGATTTATTCATAAAAATATTTATTTATGTGTTTGGAAGTTCTCGAGCGTGTTATAGAACATGTAATGAAAATTGGGTATTCCATTTAAAAATTCAAAGTGACCTTGTCCTGACCTTGACGACGCCACTCGCGGTCAAACCAATATTATCATCTTATGTCCCCCTCGAAACCAAACAACTTTTGTCTGAAAAATTTTTCTCTCCCGGGCTTGATTTTCGAGATATTCGACTGGATGGATTAAAATGGTCCACCCTGTATATATATATATATATGTATTTATATTGGAGAAATAAATCAGAATTATGGAATATTAATAAATTAATTCTAATGATCTAATTTCTGCAATTTGTGCAAGAGATTGTAAATTGAAACATATTATTGGATTGTATTATTACATCTAAAAAATAATTTGTGTTTAAAAAATAATTTAAATATGGATACTTATCATTGATAATATACCATTCGTATATATCACACATATGTATGCAACTGTAGGATCAAATTATTTTTTAATAGTTATATAATTTTCTTTAGTAATTGCGTTTACTGCTGCGGTTGGCTCAAAGGATTCAATTTTGTAGCTAAACAGAAGTGGACTAATTAAACAGAGAAATGATTCACTAAAACATACAAATTTATTTGCAAATTTTACCTTTATTAAATAATAAAGTTCTATTTACATTACATATTATTTAGTTTAAAAAGAAATAATATTAATATATATAATAATATATATAAATAGATGCAAAATTAAAACAAAT